GCTTACGTGCAGATGTGATCTTTGTCCAAGAAACTCATTTTCGAGCAGACCAAGTCCCTAAATTCTCTAATGTTAACTACCCCACGGCATTTCACTCAGTTAATGCGGAAGTAAAAGCTAAGGGGGTATCCATTTTGCTTTCTAAAACGCTCCCGTTTGAACTTACTGAGTCTCTTGAAGATCCCGAGGGCAGGTTCCTTTTTCTCAAAGGCACCCTCTTTAATAAACCACTTACCCTAGTCAATGTTTATAGTCCCAATACTGCACAAGTAAGCTTTTTTTCGTAAAATCACCAAGTTACTTGCTACATTTCAATCGGGTATCCTGATTCTAGGAGGCGATTTTAATGTGGCTCTGAACCCACTGGAAGATACGTCCTCGGGGTTTTCCTCCATTCCGTTCCAAGCACTCAAACAAATTAAAATTGAATTGAAGGACCTTCTCCTTCATGATACATGGCGTACCCTTCACCCTTCCGACAGAGATTATACCTTTTATTCTGCTCCTCACAAACGCCACTCTAGAATCGACTACTTCTTTCTCTCGCAAAAAGATTTAAATACCTTGCAGTCTGCCTCGATCGAACCAAAGATCCTCTCAGATCACCACCCGATTATGATAACTTTGCAATTCCTGGATACACCAGGCATATCCAAAATATGGAGACTGGATCCATTTCTCCTTACGGATTCCTCAGTTACCCTCCAGATCCGTGATTCTTTGACAAACTACTTTCGAGAAAATACATCCTTGGAAACGACCCCTCTCGTACGGTGGGAAGCGCACAAATGTGTAATACGTGGACTTATAATGTCAATCTCAGCTGCGCGAAAACGCCGGGCTCAAGCATCCTTTTACTCTTTATTGCAAAAAGTTCGCTCACTTGAGTGCGCACATAAACGATCTATAGCCTTAAGATCGGCTACTGAACTAGATCGAGCACGACAACAACTCCGCGATGTCGTAGAGAAGAAAACTAAGCGTAATTTTATTCTACAACAGAAGCTTTTCTATGAACATGGCAATAAGAGTGGCAAATTTCTTGCCCGGCGGCGCTTTGTATGGGGTGAATCGCTACAATCTAAAAAGGCAGCTCGACACGTTTATCAGCTCCATTCCAAGCATGGACGCCTACTGAAAACATCGTCGGAAATCGCGGCGGAATTTGAAGAGTTTTACTCTAACCTATACAACCTACCTTTACAGCCCAAACCAACAGCTGACATTAGGCCACGTAAGACCATTATACAGGCCTTCCTCACGCAATATCTCCCCAAACCTGTTTCAAGGACACAAGCGAAAGAATTGGAGGGAGCTTTGACGCTACACAGGAACTACAACAGGCTATTACACAGTTGAAACCTGGTAAAAGCCCAGGACCCGATGGCTTTATCTACTCTTACTACAAAATCTTTTCTTGACATTTTAGCGCTTCCATTTCTACAGGCCTTCAACACATTGGACACGCCAGGACAATCTATGAGTCATCTTTCGGAGGCTCACATTACGGTTATACCCAAAGAGAATAAGGACCAAACTTCTACAGTGAATTATCGTCCGATTTCGCTATTAAATGTTGATCTAAAGATCTTTGCTAAAATTCTGGCTAACCGTTTACTACCTGTTTATAGAATCCATCATATCTCCGGACCAGGTGGGCTTTGTTCCGGGCAGAGAGGCCAGAGATAACACAATTAGGGCCATTAATATACATCACTGGCTACTTCAAAAGCGACAACCTGGATTTTTTCTCTCTTTAGATGCCGAAAAGGCATTTGACAGACTAGCATGGGATTACCTGGAGGCAGTTTTGATTGGACTGGGACTGCCTTTGCGCTTTTTGACTTTTATTATGTCTCTATATATAGCCCCCACAGCGCGAGTGCGCGTTAATGGTCACCTTTCGGACTCCTTCTCAATTGGCAACGGGACCAGACAGGGATGCCCCTTGTCACCCCTCTTATTTATCCTTACATTGGAACCTTTATTGAATTGCATTAAGGATAATGCTAACATCAAGTGGATTTTGATCAATGACAAACTACATAAAGTGGCAGCCTTTGCTGATGACATACTTCTTTTCCTAACAGACCCGCATATCACGTTGCCAAACTTGCTACAAGATTTCAAACTATTTCAGTACTTGGCTAACTTTAAAATCAATTTTTCTAAATCTCAAGCACTTAATGTATCATTAACTCCGGATGTGTTGAAACAAGCGACATCAAATTTTCCTTTTACTTGGCAACGTGAAGCTATCACTTATTTAGGAATCCAATTACCAACACATCTTTCGGAATTATATACAAAAAATTTTCTACCCCTCTTACGTGACATCTCCAAAGACCTACAGACATGGAATAAACCCCTGGTTTTCTTGGTTTGGTAGGGCAGCTATACTAAAGATGAACGTGCTCCCCCAGAATATTATATCTTTTGCAGACAATCCCAATCCAATTACCAAACTCATTCTTCAAATCCTATAGAACGCTCTGTACCTCCTTTCTTTGGTATAATAAACGCCCAAGAATTAGCTTTGCCCAACTCACCATGCCCAAGAGGAGTGGGAGGTATAGGACTTCCGGATATTACCCGTTATTACAGGTCCTGTCACCTAGCCAGAATAGTGGACTGGACAACAAACCACACTCGTAAGGTGTGGGTTGGTGTAGAGGCTGATTTCTCAAAGATACCACTCTCCACCTCCCCGTGGCTGAAAACCTCTCACGTCCCTTCCGAGTTTCGAGAACACCCACTTATAGGTCCCACTCTATGCTGTAGTGCTCAGTTGTTCCAGAAAAAAGAACTATCTTCCTTTCCGAGCCCTCTTACTCCGCTTAAATTGAATCCGGACTTTATTCCAGGGATTTCTCCGACCTTTCTCGCTGGGTATGGCCGTGATGAGAATCTTACAGTGGGTCAATTCTTCAAAGATTCTAGCCTATTATCTAAAGAAGACATTGCAAAGACGTGGCCATCCATTACACTAACACCGTGGATGTATAGACAAATCCACCATTTCTTACGTAACTCCCCACATCTAAAAGACTATTCAAGACCGCTTACTGCATTTGAGAAGCTCTGCTTTACAGACATCCCCCAGCGGCATGTTATATCTAAGCTCTATTCTTGTCTTGAAAGTACTAACACATCTCATTCGCGGAAGACCTGTTCAGCCTGGCAACGTGACCTACAACTTCAAATCTCACCAGAGGACTGGGACCACATTTACGACCATATGCATAAAGGCTCCATTTGTGTCTCTACACAAGAAGGCAATTATAAATTATTTTCCAGATGGTACAGAGTTCCATCTGTGGTTCGTAAATTTGATCCTAACGCCTCAGATCTATGCTGGAGATGTTCCCGGGCAACAGGTACTCTTCTACATATCTGGTGGGACTGCCCGCGGCTGCAACCCTTCTGGAGAAAAGTTTTGGACATAATAACACAAGTAACTACATACACCCTAGACTTTACCCCAGCACAGTGTCTACTTCATCATTCCTCACTTTCAGTGAGGACTTATCGTAGGTCGCTTGCTTTACACATGATAAATGCGGCAAGACAGTGTATTCCGATCCATTGGCGATCGGAATACGTTCCCACCGTGCGAGAGTGGTTTCTTAGGATCATCAGGTTCGCAGAGATGGAGGAGCTGATTTCAGTGGCAAAAGAACACCCCGAGAGATTCAGAAAGACTTGGGCGTGTTGGAATCATTTCCAAACTACCGATACTTATCATTGTCTAATGAAGGAATGAGCGAGAGGAGATTTGGTGACACGGAAACCCCTAGAACGTTCACCTCAGGAATAGTTACATTACGGGACTTTTAACGAAATTGTATTTCTAAGTAAAGATTGAATCTGTCTCAGCCTGGAAGCTGCTAACTGATATGTCTGGTTTGGTTATGCCTATTTAGTTGTATAACTCATCCTTCCCCCATTCACCTCCCCCTCCCCCCTCCCCCCCGCCTTTTTTTTTTTTTTCTCTCTCTCTCTCTCTCTCTCTTCCTCTGTATTCGTCCCCTATGTCCCTCCTCGCCCCACTATGATATTTTTCCTCATACTCATTCTCTTCCTCCATTCCCTTGCTCGTCTCATTCCCATCTCTTCTTTCTCTCTCAGTTTCACCTCTTTACCGTATTCTAACTAACTATATTTTTCATAAGGTACAGAGTACTTACAGACACACAGGTGTAACAATACTCCTCAAATCTAATCTATAATGTTCAGGTACGGAATCCTAAGACATATATGCCTTGAGTTGACACGACTATTGTTATATACCTCACTGTCCTGTCTCTTTAGATCTCCCTACACAAGGGCTATTGTACCCCGTCTTTCTATATATTACATACTGCTAACATCATTGCTATGGGTATATACTATGCCCTTCCTCTTAGGACTGTATTTCAGGTTGTGCTACGATTTACTTATATGTCCTGAACCCGTCTGCGTTACGGGAGAACATGCTTAAAGACTTGCGCGGACTGCGATCCGTATTTGTTTATGACTTGTTATGCCTTTCATATCTCAATAAAAAATTTCTTGGAAAAAAAAAAATAAAAAAAAAAATAAAAAGATACCTTTTTTAATCTTGGGCACGTGATCCTGCAGCTCTGGCTCCCTTGTTTAAGGAACTGCTTAACAGCCGCAGCAGTGAATTTCCAAAGCTGTGACATTACCCATAGGCTCTCAAGGCCCAGACGTTGTCAACGTTACCTCCTGTCCCCTGCAGTAGCCACTCGCTGACACAGCTGGGGATCACCTAACCAGATCGAGGAAAAATAGGTAAGTACACAGATCTTCTTTTTTTTTTTTTTTTCAGGTTAAGTAGGAGGGAGGATAGAACATTTAAGAATGGCTAGTACTAGCCTTTTGCTACCACTTTAAATTACTAAAGCTGCATGACTGGGGAAATTATAATATGAAATTCTCACTTTAGAAACTAGTGTTATAAATGGACTTAATAGTTTGTATTTTTCTGTTTTCTCCAGATCTTGAAGAGGGCATTTCCTTTCAATGGAAGAGTAGATGCACCAAATAACCAGAAAACGTAATCTTTCATGTCCAATGAACTACTAAGCAGAGTGACTGTTACAATGGTATTTCTCAACCACGGAACAGAAAGCAAAGCGCCCGGCGCTGTGCTGGCTGCAAGGACATTTTTATCCTGATTAGTGGAGCAGCTTCCACCTCCTAGTGTGCCTCCTATGAGTAAACAAGCACATGGAGGAAAGCAATTTATGTGGACTTCATTCACTTGCACTTTGTCGCATTTTGTGAGTAAATATAGAGGAAATATTTTTTTATGTTATTTGACTTCTGGTATATGTAATACTAATATTAATCATCCTCTTCCTGACCAGAGACATACATGGACCTGTGTTTTATTTCTAGTAATACAACCCTCACTGGAAATTCACTGTATAGTGTACATTTTAGATTATCTACTGCACTGCCATGGTAGTGGTACTTGAACAAATCCTAGAAGAAGTTGATCGTATGTTGCTATTTCTGATAAAGGTCTATACTATAGTGCAGATATTCATTAATAAGTCATAATACATGCTTTTCCCTGATCCATGTTAGTAACACAGTGGGGCCTGCACTCCTACTATTTGCCTAAGGAAAAAAGTATATGCTGCCATCTGTAGGTGAAAATCTGGTAACATCATTTTGTTTAGCCACTGATGCTTTGAGAGCAACTTTTAAGCTGATCATAGATTGGTCAAAAATTGGCTGGTCAGCAAGGACCCACCAAACAACAACCCATCTATGACCATTCCTGCTCAAGAGAAGTCAATCTTATGATTAGAATGCAATAGTACAGTGGGGAGGATTCCTCTGTCCATTTCGAATGTGTGTATGGAGCAATTTTTTACTTTTATCAGCCTGCTGGCTGATCCAAACAAAAAGGTTTCCATCGAGGGCCAGATTTAGTTAAGTGTAAGTCCATCAATCATTTTAGCAATTGAGTATGAGCCAGTATTGCCCCATTACAAGGCCATTTTTTCTGTTTCCAGTGCTGTGATATTTTTGACAAATACTCCATCATGCAACACTGTATCTAAATAAATTTTATATCATTTTTGGAACTGTTTTTTTTTGGATTTTTTTTTTTTTTTACTAATTAAAGGAAAAATGTTTCTTAGTTGTACAGAACACAGGATCTTTAACCATTGCTTATATGTAGCTATCGTCAGGTGATTGGAGTGATTGAACACTGGGTAAAACGTTGCAAGGAAAATCCCCTATACCAGGGCCTGACAAATTTACAAATTCG